CGGCGGGTTTATGGGTTTACATTTGGTGGATAATCCGAGTATGAGGAGAGAAGAAGATGTAGAAACTGGTAGAGGCTGAGATGAATAAACTCTGAAGCTGGGTTTGGTTACTTCTTAGGACACTTTCTCTTCTTCTTTAGATTCTTTGTTTGACCACTTTCGTAGATTTCTGTAAGATAAGTATTTCGTTTGGGTTTTGGTTTTACCGGATAGGTTCCGGTTTAAGGAGTCCGGTCTTCGTATTGGCATCGGTTAAAGTTTATGCTTTAATTTTGTTCAGTTCATATCAATCGAACCACAAGTTAAACCGATTTCATTTGATTAAAGTTGATTTCTCTCGATAAACCAAAAACACAATGAAATTATTAACTCAATTAATCTTCTTACAACGATGTGTATAGATTACTCAAATGACAAACGGGAGCTTGTATATGCGTTGTCTAACAGATTCATACGCTAAGCGAAAATCGTTTTTGATTCAAAGAAATATTAGAATATATGGCCAACTCTCTAATTAAATATGACATTTTACATCAATGAATAAAAGTTCAACAAATACGATACAAAGAAAAACTAATGGTCATTTCCACACCACAAATCAAGTGAGAACAATAATTGATAACGACACATTACCGATACCAAGATGATCATGTTTCAAATCGAAGGTAGACGAATAGGTGTTCCTGAATCCACAATAGCAGCCGGACTTCTAATATCTATTACAATAACATGATAACAATTCTCTTAATTTAGATAAATCTCCTTCCTTGATTGCCTTTGTCAAATTTGTTTTGAGTTAGTTTCAGTAAAACCGCCGTTGAACAACTTGAACTGCAAAACTCAAATCAAATAGATAGCCAGAATTGACTAGAAACTAACAAACTAAACCTCAACTAAAAACTTCATCCAAAAAAATTAAACCCAATAAAAGAATCACACAGTAAACCCAATGAATGAAATCACAAATTAGATCTAAAAAAGGCGACTAAAATCGCATCGTCTTTAAACCAAAAACTCTCATAGAAATATCTTTTACACTCCATATCGAGCGTTAAAACTCTATTAGGTGACAACCATCTCTCTCACGAAGCCGGTGAAAACACCGGACATCGGAGAGGGAGAAAACTCAAATCACTTTTTTTCTTTTTTGTTCTCTTAAACGGCTAGGGTTCCAAAAGTTTCGAGGAGCTCAAAATATTAATGACATTTAAGTTTTGTAACGTCTGATTTTCGGAGTTATTAATTAGAATATCAAACTTCGTGGCAAGTAGACACAAAATAAGCCAACTTTCTCAATCAAGCCGATTTGTTTTTTACGAACGGCATGCGTTACCAAACTTTATTATATACCAAAAACGATCCGGTTAAAAATATATAAACCTAAAAAACAGTCCATGTGATGTTTACGTTCAAATTGTATGTATTTGTGGTACTTACTACTTTTGATTGAGATATGAAAAAGTCTTTGCATTTACAATATATATATATTTTTTGTTACAAAGTATTATTAGATCTTTATACAACCCATATATATAATTTAAAAAAAAACGAGTCGTCATATCATATACTATCACGCAAGTGCTTAGCTGCATATGTATTAAGCAAGTAATTAATTAGTCAATAATAATAACAATCAGAGCTAATTAAGGGATGACATGTTGAACACTACGTCTTTAATTTGTCAACTCACTACATATATAGTCCTCTTCTCTCTCCTCCTAACACACATGCATA